ATAAAATAAAATAAAATAAAATAAAATAAAATAAAATAAAATAAAATAAAATAAAATAAAATAAAATAAAATAAACACCCCAAAATCTACCTGGGTACTAGCCAGCCCCACACCAACTCCCAGCTCTCTGCCACACTCCATTTCTTCAGTTAGAAATACAATTGCACATCTGCACATAACTCATGCAATTAAAAAAAGCACGAAGGAATCTGAGCCTCCCAGGGCAGCACAGTGCCCRGAAAGCCCAGCTAGAAGCCAATTTAACCCATTTCTGACCACGGAGACGCGTGGCAGGCAGCAGGACCTCCCCATCACTGGCTCCAGCATCCCCGCCTGGTATCTCCCCTGTATCTTACTGCTGCCCCTTACCTGTATCTTATTGAAGAACAGCTTGTCCCACAGGCTGTCGTTCCTGACGATGCCGTGGCGAACTTCGGCCTTTTTCCTCTTGGCAGCAAATTCCAGCATCCAGCGCTTCAGCGACGTGTCCGCCTGGCTGAAGATCTGCGGGGGCCCGAGACAGAGCAGAGCAAGTTGGGCTCCCCGGCCCGGCGGGTGCAGCGATCTCAGCCATACGCTTAAATAAGGCGACACTATGACTTTACTGGCACTAATTCTGCTTGTCCTGCTCTGCTTGCTGCTGTGGGGACTGTTGTTTTGGGGGGAAAAAGCATCAGGCTTTAACAAGCTGCCAGACATGCACAGCCCTAATCCCGCGGGCATCGTGCTATGGGCACCAATGTCTCATTGAACACTGATGCAAAAGAGAAGCCTCTGGTGCCCATCTCTCTGATCAGACACCAAGCCCAAATCCAAACAGGTCTGAATTTGGGGAAAGAAACACAATCAGCAGCTTTTGTCTGRGCCCATCACCATGGGATTCATTTTCCAAGGAGCAAATATTCCCCACTAGTCAAACTGACTTGATACAGTGACCAGACACGTGAGTCTTAAATACCCCTCTGGACCATCTCTTGTTTTAAAAAGCTCCGGATGAGAAGCCTGCCCCACATTCCCAAACCCCCAACATCTGCTCCACGGGGACCTGCATCTGCCACGGCCATCCAGGGAGGGGAAAGCTCCAAAGTGGCCTGAAGCCCAAAAGCTCTGAGTACACCCAGGTTTGACTGATGCCTTTTGGAGGTGGAAACTCCTCATCCCTGGCAAGGTCATTGGGAGCAGGACAAGAACATGTTTGCAACCAGGCAGGGCCACCGGGAAAGACCATGAATGCTGTGGGAGTGCTATGGGAATGCTGTTGGAGAAGCACGACTGAGTGATAAACCTCATGAGTGCAGAGAGCATGAAGACCCACTCACCTTGTCGTACATCCTGTTGAGGAGCCGCGGCACCACGGGGAAGATGGTCGGGCGCAGCGCCTTCATGTCGTCCGACAGCAGACGGATATCCCCTTGGAAGAAGCCGATCCGGCCCCCGTGGCAGTACACGACGGACTGGCAGGGAGAGAAGGCAGCGGCTGGAGCATCCCTGCCCGGGATCATCCGGGAGCATCCCCGCCGCGCGCCTCCGGCCGGGCTGCTGCTCCACGCAGGCACCCAGTGCCTCTCCAAAGGGACAGGAGGGTGACAGCGCGTTTGGCACTCAACAGGAGCCTCCGCTGGGAAACCTGTTGGGATTGGGAATGTAGCACCCGCCAAATCTGCCGCTGTCCCTGCAAGAGCAAGGACRCGGGGGCATCAGGATGAGAGGTTTTCCCTGCATCCCTGTGCCCGGGGATGGAGGGGTCCTGGCCGAGGCGGGACCTGCCGCTGAGGAGCGGGAACCCGCTCGCACGGAAACACGGAGCGCCGTCGTGAGCAGCAGCCCGCTGCGGGAGCTCAGTGTTAATGGTTAGCTCTGTTTAAACGTGAGACTGTGTCAGCAGCGCAGTGCCTGGCTCCGCACCCCAGGACGCTTTTACATCTGGAAGCCGCCAGTTTGGAAAGGAATAAAAAGGCCACTTTTCAAGCAAATCAGAAGAGAAGTGGATGCGTGAGACAGTGCAGAAGTTAGCGCTTTGCAAGATGCAAATGGAGAACATCAACACCTTTTGGCAGCCTTTTCTACCCAAATCATTAGGGCAATTGAAAATATCTTAAGAAACACTGCACTCTTTTGGGGCTGTCCCTAAAAACCGATGTTAACCTGAATGGGCCCACAGCTTTYCCACTGTCCAGAGAGTGCTGCTCCATGGACTGGAACTTAGTTCACAGCTTCCAGAACAGATACAGATCATCTCATCTGACTTGCAAAATACACCATTTCCACACAAATTTATCTATCCAAAAAAAAAAAAAAAAAATTTAAAAAAAGGAAGAAAAAAATAAGAAAATTGCTTTTCAGATGAGCTCCCATCCCTKGCATGGTACCCAAGGCACTTCTGCAGGACAAGTTTTTTTTTTATTTTTTTAGTTTACAAGCCAAAATTGCTGGTTATTTAGTACTTAGTTGGTTTCTTTTTCGAGGTGGAAAGGGAGGATTTCCACAGCCTCTGCAATACTGCAGCAGCCCGTGCAACGAGGYGCTTCCAGGCGTCTCCACTGCTTTCCTTTCCCATCAGGTGGCTTTTGAGCCATTCTCTCCCCGGCTGCTGGCAAAGCGCTTTGAGCAGCGGTGGGATGCTGACCAACCCGCCTGTTAGAGATACACGTGCGAGTGAGAATCCGCCGCGGCCGCTCTCCAGGCCTGCCCCGGCTTTCACTTCCAATTTGCAAGCGTTTTGCACCGCAGCACCAATTGCTCCTGGCATGGGTGTTACTGAGAGGTGGGAGGCTCAAATTCAGAGCCGCTCTGCCTCAAAAAGCATCGTTCAGCCCCAAACTGCCCTGCCTGGGAAAGCGCCGAGCTGCCGCTCGGTCAGATCCAGCCCTCACGTATGGACTCCGTTCTCAGCTCGCAGCTTCCAGAACAGACGCGATCATCTCATCTGACTTGCAAAATACACCATTTCTGCACAAATTACCACATCTTATATAAAAAAAAAAAAAAAAAAAAAAAAAAAAAAAAGAAGAAAATTGCTTTTCAGATGAGCTCCCGTCCCTGGCATGGTACCCAAGGCACTTCTGCAGGACAATTTTTTTTTTATTTTTTTAGTTTACAAGCTAAAATAGCTGGTTATTTAGTACTTAGTTGGTTTCTTTTTCGGGGTGGAAAGGGAGGATTTCCACAGCCTCTCGGGCCTTACCTGCACCATGCGCTCAAACATGTGTGCTAAAGGCAAATAGGAAACGTGCACCTCCGCGCTAGTGGGAGCCCACTGACTCTGGAAGAAAGCAGAGGAGCCCCGCGAGGCTCGTCAGCGGCAGCGCTGCTTACCTGGATCACCCTCTCAAACATRTGAGCCAGAGGCAGGAAGGAGATGAGCACATCGTCCTGTCTCGGAAAGATCACTTTCTGCAGGCGAGGGGCATGGGAGACAGAAAGGAAAGAGAACACTGACAGGAAGACAACGAGAGAGCCGTGAGATGCCGAGCGGAGAAGCGGCGGCAGGAGGATGCGGGGCAGCGGAGCCGGGAGGGAAGGGGAGCAGCGGCCGAGCGCGGCCAGAGGACACGGGAGCAATGGAGCCGCCTTAGCAAAGAGGAGCASAGACACAGAGCAGCGCCCCGGCCGCCCCGAGCTGCTGGGTTAGGTGACAATCTGCAGCAAGGTGCACTGACGCACGGCGCCAAATCGGCGCCCGGCTGTGCGAGCGCGGGAGCTTTGCTAGCGCCGGCTCTCTGCAAGCCAAGCCCTCCYGTAGAACGGTTTGGTTTGCATTAAACCAGAACAACGGCATTTAGGAGCATTTCACAGTTGGCAAATACAGCCTGGTTGTCCTGATAAACGCATAAAAAAATCAAAGTGTCTTCTTGGCATTGAAAAGTGCATTATGAGACAACTCTAAGTTGACTAAAAAATGTTCCACTTATCACTGAGCTGTTCAAAACTGGCACAAAAGCAGGGAAGCAGCAAATCCGCAGGATTTTTCTGCTGTGGGTATTTTCCTTATTCACTGGCATTACTCCCAAAGCTTTTGCACCTTGCACGGTGTCATTCCTGAGGTTGGGCATTGCTCCCCGGGTGGCTTGGCCATGGCCATGGCATGTCATAGTCCTGCAAGCACCAACACGTGACAGCCCAGTGGGGCCCATCGTATCCCACATCGAGTTTGTTTAAAAAGGGGGCCTGGAAATCGCAGAAAAGTCAAGGATTAAGACTGCGATGTTTCCTGCATCAACAGTAAGAGGAAAGCAGGTGCAGAGTAATTACCTGTGCATCCCACATGCACATTACTGTGTTGTATAATTGCCTGTTTACAAGGTAAAAATACATTCTGTGTGTTTGCTAGGCACCGGGGGTAATAATCCCTCATGGGCCGTGCTGCAGCACTTCTGCTCCAGGCTGAACTCATTGCACCAAACACATTATACACATTATATATACATTTACCTGGTCAGTGCTGTGTCTGTTAAAACACATAGAACCCCAGCTGCAACACACTTTAGTGTCAACAGAATTAACTATTCTTGTAAACAGCTGTGTGTTCTTATATGTATATTGCAAATATACATACTTTGGGTGCCTAAGGCTTCCAAACAYGCTGGAGGCACCTTGGAGCGGGTGCCTCCGTCCCATGGGAGCCCAGCTGCAGCCGTGCAAGGCTCGCTGGCTCCTGCAGCTAGGGGAGGAGAGTTGTGTGGTCCCGGGAGCTCCAGCAAAGGCCCCTCGGAGCTTCCTGATGGAACCACATGGGATGGAGCCACATGGGATGGAGCCGCCCGGGATGGAGCTTTGCAGGACGGAGCCGTGCGGCTGCCCTGCTCCAGCTCGGCGCCRGGTCCCGGCCCTGCTGCGTCGCGGTTATTCACCTCGGTCACCTTGAGGAAGCCCGAGAAGTCCGCGACCACGTTGCCGTGGGTCAGCATGGCGCCCTTGGGGTTGCCTGCAAGGAAACAGAGAGCACTGCTGCTAAAGGCCGCCCGGCAGCTGCAGCATCTAAAGCTTGAAAAAAGAGAAAAAAGTGAGAGGGTAGAAAACATGCTCAAGCTCTCAGAGTTTTAAAATTTATGCATTTTTCACAGTCATTTACTGGTAACATCTAGTAAAGTCAAGTCTTAAAATACTCAAAGAAAGAAGGTAGAAAACCAATAACAGACAGTCCCAGCAGGGCCGCTGGGCTGCAGCAGGGAAAGTCCTCAGCACCAGCAAGGGCAGAGGTTTGGAAGCAAAGCTGCCATTCTCARAGCCAGGACAACCCTCCTTCTGGAGAAACCCAGCACACGCTTATTGCTAGCAGCTAAAGCTGCTTCCAACTCTACWTTTCCAGGCTACTGGCTCTGCAGCGATTGCAGAGCTGTACGTGGACGGCTCCAGACTTGGGTGAGCTGCTGAGGACATCTCCACCAGCGAGCAGCCGCTGCGGGCACCCTCGGGCATGCAGCACCCTGCAGCAAAGCAAAACCGATGCCCAAAGGAGCAAAACCATCCTGGGCATTTGTGCTCTCTGCACATCCCGTCTCTGCTTGCAGCACTTCTTGGTAGATCTGAGGTGGGACCACATCCTGGAGAGCATGAAATTCCTGAAATTAGGAAAAGTCCCAGGCACTGCAGGCAGMGGAAACAGGGAGTGCAGTGCTGGGCAGCAGCCTTTTCCTCTCCTAAGACTGCAGAAGATAAAACATGGGTCAATCACACGTTCTGTGTCTGCACTGCAAGATGGGAAAGCAGGAGCCCAGGGAACTTGGGAGGATTTCCAGACAAATGCAAAAATCACTCTGCCAAAACGTGTGCCAGAATTCTAGTTAAAAATAAAAATACCACTGTTTTAATTTACATAGCTACTGAAACTCATCTACGTATATATATATATACACACACACACTTCAACGCTAAAAATGCATACAAATATCATTACTGTGTGTCAGGATAGCAGTCTATTTGCGCATACTGAGGTGATGCTAGTAATTAATTGCTAATGTATTCTAGCACTTCATGATTAAAGTGCTTGCACTTTTACCTGTAGTGCCACTAGTAAAACAGACGATCGACAGATCTTCTGGCCGAGGAGGCTAGAAATGTATGAGGAAGATGGGAAAAGCTCATCAGTGCAATGCAGTACAGTCAGRCAAAATGTTGCAAAAAATGCAAATGTTGCAACTTAAAAATTAAACTTCTATTTCAAATCTGCCATAAAAAAAAATTTATTCCCCTTGGTAGATATAAAAGACCATCATAAAGCTCTTTCTATCAGGTTTCTTTGATCAATAAGACTCCATTTCCCCCTTATGTTTCACTCCATCTGTGGTACCACAAGATTTTGATGAAATATTTGAGTCTCAGATCATGTACATAAACCCCCCAAAATATTGCATTCAGTTGTAATGTATTCAATACTATTGATTATTAATTTGTTCCTTTTAGAGTTGGAAAACCATTCACACAGGCTGCAGGAATAAACAGTGTTTGCCAAATACAGACATTAGATAGCAGCAATAGATGATATTTATGGTTTATAGAGGTTGTTTGGAAATTCTTCTTAAATATGCCATTCATTTTTGGCAGCATGCATGGGGGTTCACAGAGCACATAACATTGGTTGTGTGTACGGAGGAAAACAAGAGAGCTTTACTTGCATTGAACAAATACTTAACACACAATAAATACAAATACTCCAACAATAAATACAAATGCTAAGTGCATGTAAATACTTGTACCGTGCTCATGTCCCTGTCAAAAAGAGCAAAGCTTACGAGTGAGCACGGCCCATGCTGGGCTCTGCTGCTGGGACCAGGGCGATGACAATGGACAGTGCCAGGCAGCAGCCCGTGGGTCGCTCTTGTCTCGTGGAATAGACACCAAATGATCATTTCGTTACAAAAGCGAAGGCTGCGCAGGTGAACTCACCACAGGGACGTGCCGGCACTCACGGCCACGCTCCTGAAAGAGATGAAAGTGACGAAATTATTTCCAATTTCACCCGGAATGGGAAAAATGAGCGGCTGACAGCATGGGCTGCAACAGCAGCCAGCATGTGGGCCGCCTCTGAGGAGCAGGACATGGGACAAGGCGCATGGAGATGCCAGCGCTCACGGGCTGCACCACCTGCAGGGCCACACGGATGGGGACGAGCTTCCCTGACAGCGGTTTGGCCCCCAAACCTGCAGCCCCCCACCCCGGTTCACAAGTCCCAGGGTATTTTGCAGCAGGAGCTGCAAAGCCCATGGAGAMGGGGAGGCTGGAGGAACCCACCTCCACGTGGCGCATGGCCTGGACGCGCACGCCGCAGCGCACCCCTCTCTCCTGCAGCTCCTTCTCCAACGGCTCCATCAGGATGATGTTGCTGAGCCCCGGCGTTTCCCGCCTCTCCACGTGGTCCAGGAGAACCCGCGCCTTTTCCGGCTTGTCACAGATGACCGTGGAAATGTCCGCTGCAAGAAAGCGTCCAAACACTTTGGTTTTGGTAAATCTTTGCTCCAGGCAGCACGGCTGCTGGTTCAGCACTAGCACATCAGCTTTAACACTCGCTCCACACTTGCAGCAGAGATCCAGGAATGCAATAAGCATTTCTTTTAGAAATGACACTGCAATTTCACCTAAAAAAACCATCTCTGAAGATGCAGCTGATGTCTGCAAATACTCTGGGGTTTAGCTCAATATTAAAACCTCAGACCAAGGACTTTCCAAGAGCCCATGGGTCTTCTAGGAGAGCAAATATTGCAAGGAAGAGCAGGGTAGCGCTGGGCTGTTGTCTCTGASGTGTGAACTGATGGTATAGAGCAACCAAAGATACCCGACTTGTCCTACCCCAGACATACAGAGTACAAGAATGAATGAAAGAGAAAATTTCTTAACTGGTTAAAAGGATAACTGGTTAAAAGAAAGGAGTCCTGCAGTAGAGCACTAAATTACTGCACAGTCAGATAGCCAAAGACTTTTGATGAGCAAGAACAGCTCTTGGGAAAGCAGAAGACAATGAACACGCAACCCTATGTCTTTACATCCTTCTTACCTGTGTTGATGATGTAGCGGATGGCTCCAGGCCCCAAGGTGTCGTACAGGGGAACCACCACCATGGAGTAAGTGTAGCAAGCCAGCTCGGAAATGATCCACTGCATCCAAAACCAGGAGTAAGAAGGAGGCAGTGGCAACACGTCTAACACATTTGAGAGCAAGCTTAACATACAAAGCAAGCTCTCAGGTCAGGAACGCTGTTAAGAGCATGCAGTTAGAAGTTAGACTGAAACTCTCTCACCTCAGGGCGGTTTTGAGCAAAGACCCCGATAAACTGCTCTGGGGACGGTTTGCATCCCTGCTGAAGCAAGCCTGAACCCAAGGCTTCGGCTCGTTCACAGACCTGGAAGTTGAAAGGAAAATAAAAGCATAAAATGAGGAATACAAGCAAGGGGAAACTAAGCAAAGGCAACCCCAAGCCATGCAGTTTTTCCTGCAAAAATCCACCTTACAAGTCCATCCCTTGAGTCAGGAAGGATGGAACTAGCAGGGGAGCCTGTGGGAAGAGCCCCCTCCAAGCTCACCTCTTTGTAGGACAACCACTGGTAGGGCTGCTTGGGTTTCCTGAATCCCAGGCAGGGGCCGTTCTCTAGAAGACACAAGCAGAGATTTCCAAGTCACGGGGATGGTGACAAGCACCGATGYGCGGAGCAGAGCAAACACCTCGCTACCAAGGTCAGCTCTCACTTTGGAGGCAAAGCACCCATCAAGGGCCATCAAACCTGGGCAAGACAGCCCGGCATAAGGGGAGACCAGTTTCTGGGGGTTCCCCAAATTGGTGCCAAGCCCCATCTTGCAGCTGCAGAGAGTACAGCAACGATTTGCACAGAAACAACCTTATTACAACGTATTTCCCCTAAGACAGCAGGATCGTTGCTGTCTGGTGAACGCTTTCATCCCAAGTACGAGCTCCTGCCGCTCTAGCTGCCCTTTGATTTAAATACTTCAAAGTGAAAACTACTATTAATATCAATGCCTACTCGAGAGGAGAGTAAGATTATACGTAGCACTACATGCCAGGAAGTGTATTTGAGAAGTTTAATTAATTTGCTATCCGCACTTATCTGCACAGGATCCCTTCCTCCACACATCCAGCGAGTTATTTATATACCGCCCTTAACGTARCGGCACAGTGCAGAGAACTGCTGCACCGATGAGCCTTTAGTGGCTCTGGAAATAATAATATGAAATCGGAGCGTTCAATCTAGGACATGCAAATGACAGGCAGGTGCTTGGGGATCCCAGAGCAAGCTTGTCTAAAACATTGTCCCAAAGCCTAGGCACGGTAAGGCTGTAGGACACTTAGGACGTAAACGTCTCTAATTTGTAGGACCAACGTGAGAGTTCACTGGATCTTCTAATGACCAAGATGAGCATCACAAGCAGCAGAGCACGAGTAGGCATCGATCTAATGGGGAAGAGTCACCACAGGTGTGGGACGTGGCACCTCACAAGGGTATGGGGACTCTCCCAAGCTCTCATGGGTCACATCAGCAAGTAGGGTCAGATACAGCGTGATTCGCTTCCCAAAGGGCTCCTGCCAGGGCCCTTTAAGCAGCTTTCTTTAAAAMACTGCACTTCTGAGGTGTAATAAGTAATTACTGACGGCAATGCAGGATGCAAAGGCAGGAACGAGTATCGGGTTCTGCAGTGGAGGGAGAGTGCTGCCGAGCGCTGCAGCGACCTGTGCCGGGATCAGTCCCACCGGACACATCTGTAAGTGGTCCAGGGATGACTAATGCAYAGACAGGCCTGCTGATGCTGCAGAATTCAGGAGATGGAGAGCTAAAGTTGCCTGCCAACGGCAGCAGAAAGCTCTCCTGATACCGAGAGACCGCAGAGTAAAACTTAATGCTGTTCAATGCAAAACAAGGCACACAGGGAGTAATAATCCTAATTATAAACTCATAATGATTACTTATAAATCAATTGTTTGGTTATCAGTAAAAGWGATCCTGGAACTATTCTGGATGGTTGTGAAAGCATCAGCTAACCCCAAGAGAGAACAGATCAGGACACTTCCCAAGGCCCCTGATAACCCTGTCCTGGGTGAGCAGCCCGGGTCGTGCAGCACTGGATGCACCACGGGGTAAAACAGCACCAGGAAAGGTGCAGAGATGGGTGACAGGGAGGAGTGAGAGMGCAGTGAGACCTTCCATTCCTAAGGACATTTGATGGAGCATAAGAGTCAGTTTGTGGAAGGACATCCATGGAGGATGGGATGGGGAGGACTGGAAGTCTCTGCACATCCAGAGGCTCCAGGGATCTCGGCATCCCATGTGCCCGCACTGAGCACTCACCAGAGATGTTAAACCCTCTTCTGAAGACCTCGTACATGGTCCTGGCGTCGTCGTAGTAGTGCGTGAGCAGCTGGTCGCTGTCGCCTATCACGGACCTCCGTGCGCCGCCCGAGTCCTGAGGGACCACAGCAGCACAGTCAGCGGGAGCAATGACAGGAGGAGAGAGGAGCACAGAGAAGTGCAAAACAGCCCAGAAAAGCCCAGGAAAGCATCCCCAGGCTGCCGGCAGGAGCTGAGCTGCAGCTGCACACGCCGGGACGAGCTCAGGCAGCCGACACCATCCACCTAGAGCTCGTCGCGCTGCCTCAGCATTCCGTTCAAAACATACATTGCAACGAGCACTGATAGCACACCCAGCTAAACCTCATGGGCTGCAAGGAAAGCAAAGGAAAACAGTGGTTTTGGCACCTACTTTTACCCAAACTGGGCTTCTAATGCAGTTACTGCTCCTTCTCCTCCCTCCGCCCTGGAGAGGCCGCCTGCCTCCTGCATCTTTATGCACTTGCCACAACTCGGGCATTTTTAGACAAGTGTGATCTTTTTTTTCTGTACAAACTAAAAATAAGCCCCCTTTCCACTCTGCAATAATGTCCAAATGCATCTTATATTAATGGAAAGACCTGAGGACAACTGAAAGTAATTACGTTTTAAAAATGGAAAAATCCAGAAAACAAAAAAGCCTTTGCAATTGCATCTACCACACCCAGCTGAGAGGAAAAAAACCCATTTATTTACCCCTCCCCTCCAGCTGCATTGACTCCCAAATTGAAAGCACCCACCTGGAGCCGCAGGGACCGGAGCGCGCAGGGGCTCTGCACCCTCCCTGCCGCCCCTCGGCACCTCAGGAGGCATCGCCGTCCTGCACTGTCTCTTATAGGGGACCAAAGACCTTATGAAATGAGCTTAGGGATCCAAGCAACAGCCTAAACCTGCTCCCCCAGGCTTGACCCTCCTTGTTGCCACAAGAGGCAATTTACAGGTCCAGAGGAGACTTGAGGAGGATTCAGACAATTTTCAAATWATACCAAAAAAAGGCTGTAGAGAGGCTCAAACCACTGCTGGGGGGCTTGGTGATGCAGTAGCTGCGATGCAGATGTTAAGACTGGTCTGCAGGAAGGGGAAGGGGAAAGGGCTCAGTGGGATATGAAGCACCATGTGCTGATGGTTCCTGCTTAGAAGGTCATCAAGATCCAGGCACCTCTGGACACCTTCCCAAGCTACATCCCAAGTAAATCAAAGGAGAGACCAAACCAGGGGGCAGATTAAAAGAGAGGACACACTGAAGMCATTAAGAGATAAGGGCAGGAAGATAAAAAACAGGATGGCAGCCATAGATAAGGACAGATAAGGAGAAGAAGGTCAGTGAGTAGCWGTTGAGAGAGCACAGAGCAGGGCCAGGGCTGAGCAAGAAAGATCAGGAGAGGCTGCCAGCTCCCCATGGGTACGGAAAGCACATCCAGAGACCAGGACCTGGCTGTAGCTGAAGGGAATGGAGGGAGAAGGAATGGGGAATGTTGGGTGCACATCCCCATAGGTGATCCCAGTGGGTCCACTGGGACACTGCTGTCTCAGGGCAGGGATGGGAAGAAAATGGCAGTGTGAGTGAAGGGTCCGAGTTATGTGSACACAGAGTCACTGAGCACAGCAGGGTTAGGATGGGCACAGGCAACACGGATGGACAACAGCCTCATGGTGGGTCTGCTGCAGCCTGGCCCACGGTACAGAGCAGAGCAGCGAGGAGGGCAAAGAAGACTGTGCCATGATGAGAACCTGCTACAGGGTTAACTGGGCCAACAAAAATGAAATGTATTTTTGGATTTTGTTTTTTGTTTTAAAGTGAATGATGGAGTGAAGGAWGATCAGGGGCCTGGAACAKCTACCTTATGAGGAARGGCTGAGAGAGCTGGGCCTGTCCAGCCTGGAGAAGAGGAGGCTGAGGGGAGACCTGAKCAGTGYCYATAGACACCTCAAGGGAGGCAGTGAGGAGGACGGGGCGGCCTCTTTRYAGKGGTGGCCASYGACAGAACTAGAGGAAACGGCCACAAAYGGAAGCACCAAAAGTTCCCCAGGAACTTAAGGAAATTTTTCCTAACAGTGAGGGTGCCCGAGCCCTGGCACAGGCTGCCYAGAGAGGCTCTGGAGTYTCCCTCTCTGGAGATCTTCCCAACCCACCTGGACGCAGCCTCTGCCGCGTGCTCTGGGTGACCCTGCGCGTGCAGGGGCTTGGACTGGATGATCTCTAGAGGTCCCTCCCAACCTTCAGCATTCTGTGATTCTATGAAACGATCCCTAGCACTGTAGACTTCCTGCCCAACACCAGGCAGAGGTTGAGGCCCCGTGAATAAACCCGAGCACCCTCCRTGGCTGCTTCCAAGCACCCCAACCCCACGGGCAATGCTGCCTCTTACCTCCACCTCCGCCGACTGCCTGGAGAGGTCGCAGGGCGGCTGCACGGCCCTGGGCCGGCACGCGAACCAGTAGGCGAGCACGGCGGCGAAGGCGCCCAGCCCCACGAGCGCCGTGGCCGGCAGCCCGCGCAGGAGCTGGCCCAGCTCGTCGAGCTCGGGGAGCCGCAGGCCCCGCAGCACGTCCTGCGCTTGCATCTTCTCCGCCACGGAAAGGGCAAACTCTGCGGGAGCCAAAGGGAGGCAGTGAGCTGGGCAGCGGGGCCGGACCCTGCAGCGGGCAGAGCGAGGCTGTGCCCGCAGCACCTGCAGACCTGCCCTGCAGCACGTGCCTGTGGGCACCATGCCACGGAGAGCCGTCCTGCAACGTGTGCCCGTGGGCGCTGCGTGGCGCCCACCTGCCTGCAACGTGCACCTGCATGCACCACGCTCAAATATCTGCTGTGCAGTGCACGCCTGCGTGCAACACACTGTGCACAATGCACGGCCGTGTGCACCACGGTGCAGAGACAGACGGGAGCTACAACACGCGCCCGCGTGCACCACGCTGCACACATGTGCCCTGCAACACAGGCCTGCATGCAACACACTGTGCACAATGCACGGCCGTGTGCACCACGCTGCACAGATAGCTCCGCTTCCTGGCCTGCAAGTTTCACGGAATAGGGAGCAGAGCTGAGGCTGGGGTAGTGAGCTGTGCGCTGCTGGGGTGCACTGCACCTCTGSGACAGGGCCCAGTCTGCAGCACCCCAGGCTTCCCATGTGATCCCCAGCATCCCGGCATCCCAGGAGGTTGTGGCACAGCCCTCGGGAAGCAGGAGCCGAAGAGCTGTAGCTCCCCAGGGGAAAGCTCCAAGCTGGAGCAGAGCACATACATAAAAACAGTCCTGTTTTCTGCCCCTCACAAACACACCTCCCTGAGCATCTCCCGCTGAGGCCTCGCCACCCAAAACCTGCAGTTTCCCAGGGRTCACTCAGCAGGAGCCTCCGCTTCGGGTGCTGCCCTTCCCTGCTTGCTCCCCGCACGAGCTGCACYGCTCTGCGAGCAGGATGCGCTCCCGGAGCTGGAAACCACCGAGACACCCGCTGGGAAATTCCAGCTCAGATCCTGCTTTTGTTCCACGCTGGCTGCGCTCGGGCCCCAGGAGCTGCTCCTCGTTTGCTGCAATCACCGCCGGGCTCGGGGCAGGGAGCCCGGGCGCTGTCCTTCTATTTTCAGCCTCCTGGAAACCCAAGCGGCTGCAGACCCTGCCATGGCCCACGGAAAGAGCAAGGCCAGCACTCCAGGGGCCGGAGCAGCCAGATGGAGCAAAGGGCAGTGGGAATGCCAGGATGCYGAGGAGCACCTGGATGCTGCCAGCACCGCTGCCCAAGGAGCCTCTCGCCCTCCTACCCTGTGGATGCATTTGGGAATAAACATGTCACTGGAATGGGAACCCAGAGGCATCATCCAGCCCTGCGTGCTCTGGGCACCCACAGGGACCTGCCATGGCCAGCAATTAATCAGGCGCAACTGCTGGGGTTCAGCAATTATTGGGATTATTGGCCAAGCTCACGCTAATGCTATTTAGAGCCTTGCTAAACTTTTTTTACATGCTTTTGCTCCTGCAGAAGTGGGAGCCTGTAATTGCATAATTCCAACTCCATTCTCCCATTTAACATCCCCAGCGCCAACCAAGTCGTGCTGGATCCCACTCCGATCACTGCAGCAGGGGATTCTCATCAAAAGYGCCCCCTTTCCAACCCCCTGCCCTCGACACCACCTCGTGCAGGTGTTCAGCTTTACCCATCCAGAGTGGAATAACATGCTCCTAGTGCCACAAGATTYATAAAGATACATAAAGTCATTGTATATTATACCTAATTATTATAGATTAGGTATTATACCTAATAGATTATAYCTAATTCTCTGCAGCAACAGGCTCCCAATGTTGCAAGATGTAAAGATATATACAGTGACTGTACATTACCGAGATCGCAGTTAATTCTTTGCAGGAATATAAACACATTTAGGAGAAAAGCCGAGGCGGGAGCAGCAGCGCTGAGTGGCGGTGGCTGCAGCGCGGGGAGCTGTGGTTAAAGGAAAGGAGCCGGGTCGGCGGTGCACGCGGCTGCTGCGCCCGCGGTGACGCAGGGATTYAGGGAGCGCGGGAGGTGACGGATGCACGGGCCCGCGCGGCGGGATGCGTGCGGGCCACCCTGCGCAGGGCGCTGAGGAGAGGGCGCTTGTCGCTCCTGTGTTTTTGCTGGTGAGAAGAAGAGGCCTCCAGCGCCCTGAGGAGCCGGGGCCAAGCTGTCGAGGTGGCCCCTTGCCAGCCAGGCTGCTCCGGAGCGGGGCTCCGTGCTGCCTAAGCCTCTTTAGGCTCCACRGCCCTGGGGCCAGCGGGGCTCCCGCGCCGTCCACGAGCACCGGGAGCAGGGCAGCGTGTCCGGGGGGACGAGGCTGCTGCTGGGTCACCGGTGACGCCGCACATTAGTCCTGCTCCGCTGCGAGCCGAGCCCAGGGGACACGGACACGGGAGGAGGAGGATGGGGAGCGGGTGGCGGGGAGCAGGATGGGGGGGAGGGCCATTTCATGGCATGTGGAGGATGGGGAGGAGGAGGAGGATGGGGAGGAGGAGGAGCATGGGAAGGAGAAGGAGGAGGACCGTTTCATCCCATGTGGCATTAACCTAGCCCGCAGCTGCAAGCAGGGCTATCTACCAGGGAAGGCGAGGGCACAAAAACAGCCCTAGAGAGCACATCCATGCACTAAGCAGCAGCATTTATTTTTATATACATATGGATATATATGCACATATATATGTGCATATACACACAGGCAGATGTATGCATATATATTGAAAATGGGATGCACGTATATATATCCTTCTATAGAAAGATGCATTGCTTTGTGCTCAGCGTGACAGGATTAGCATTCCCACTGCCCGCGTTGTTCCCGAGGAGCCCCGCGCTCCCAGCGTTGCCCACGGAGCGCCCGGGGCGGTGGGTTAAGCTCCGCGGCGGGCGGCCGCAGACGCTGCRGGTGCCGCGCGCCGCCCGCCCGGCTCCGCGGCCGCGCGCGCCAAAGCCGCCGCTAAGAGGCTTCCGCCCCCGGCTCCTCCTGCCGTCAGCAGGCGCGCACGGACGGCAACTATTTTTAGGGGAAACCTAAAAATACCTCTGCGGTCCGCAAGGATTTGAGCCGCCTGCAGCGTTCCCAGGAGGAGCGGGACGGGACGCRCCGGGAGGTCGCCCCGAGAGCGCAGCCAAGGGAAGCCCCTGCAGGCGTTTTCCCATTCCCGCCTAGCTCTGCGGCTCCGAGCTCTGTTAACTCTGAAGCCTATCAATCACCTAACACGCGGCAACCCAAAGCCTCACATCATTACGCTTGCTTCCCAGGCTGGAATGTGACAGAACAGCCACAAGGTTTTATGGACTGGGGGTCTTAAAAACCTCATCCTGCAGCTCCAGCTCCTAGAGCTCAGCCAGGAGATGCTTTCCAAGCACTCACAGGTCTCCTTCATTTCCCCGTGCGACCCCTGATTATCCACAAATCTCCTTCCTTCCTGCAAAGGGGATTTCTGTGAGCGACGCTGGCGGGTCTGATTGCCGCACGTGCTTCGCATGCCTGGTGACAGGCGGGGAACAGACTGCGTGAATAACTGCTCAGAAGGAGCTATCTGGGGCAGAGCACAAAGAGACGCCGGAGCAGCGACGGGAAGGGCGGCAGCAGCCCCGCAACAGCCACTTTCATGGAGCGCGGGAGGCGGCGGCGCCGGCTTCCCGCGACGGGGCCTTGCCAGGCTCTGTAGATGTTTGCTTCCAAGCCCCACTGGATTTKGGAAACGCTAGGGACAGCGTCACGGCCCTTGTGCAGGACACTCGGGACACTCAGCGCGCCCGCTCGGGCGCTGCCGCATTCCACGCTGCTCTTTGCACCTGCTTCCATTTTACCCTTCTGGCTTCTTCTTATTTGTAATGAAAGCCATTAACGGTGTATCTGTGATTCGGGGCTGAGAGGTCCTGCCGCAAACTGGGGACACGGTCCCTCCATGAGGAGACACCCGGGGACAGGGAAGCAGCAACCCAGGCCGGGCAGAGCCTTGGAGGGATCTCACGCTAGAAGCGGCCCTRGAAAGGAAAGCTTACAAAAAATAAGTCCTGTCATGACCCCGCTATGATAAATACAGCTGTCTCCTTCACTTAAGCTTGTGGTAATTAGATCCCGTTAATTACCAGGGAAGCGCCCTCCGGAGCCGGGCAGTTTCCCCACGGACCCTGTCCGTGCAGGTGGTGACGAGGGGACGCTGAGAGCTGGAGCGCGCCCGGGGGAACCGGGTGTCCCCAGCGCCTGGGCACTGTCCCAAAGCGAGCGGCCACGGCGGCTCCGAGCGCCCCTGGCAGCTGCTCAAGGAAGCAAAGGGCAAGGAAGGGGCAGGGAGAGAGAGGAGGCCAAGACACCCGGAGCGCCGGCTCCCTCCTCCTGCTCTCRCAGATCCCAGACCCTGTGGAAGCAGCAGTGCAGGGCAGGACATGGAGTTGCTCACTTGCTCCAGGGGACACTCCAATGGGCCTCAGCACGAGCGCTCCTGGCCTCAACAGTCACCAACGCCACCAGCCTTCACTTGGAAACCCTCTCGCTCCTCTGGCCTCCAGGCTGCTCCTCGGGAGCACTGCCCAAGGCTCCTGGTYGGGCCCCAGCACTGGCCACTGGTCCCGGCACCAGCATTTTGGAAGTCTGGTCTCCTTCCCAGGCCATCCTGGTGCAGAGGTCACCTGGGGCCAAAAGGGCGGACGGACAGACGGACAGCAATGGGCAGCCAGGTTTGTAGTTGAGGTCATTGCAGCCTCATGCGTGGAGGTGCTGGGGCTCCTGCACAGCACAAGCCACAAGCTTGCCGGGCTCTGCAGGGCTCCCGCGGCCACATCCGAGCCCCAGGGACACATCTGAGCCCCTGGGCCACAGCCTCGGGATCTGGCGGAGGCCGCAGCGGAGGCCGYGCTCTCGCTCCCTGCGCTCAGGAGGCGCTCACCTCGCACACCACAGAGGCAGCGCCGGTGGCACCGCGGCCGCGCACCGCGCCGACGTGGCGGTGTCACCGGGGCTGCCGTGCGCCGCAGAGCGAGCGGGAAAGCCCCTTGCCAGCCCCTGTGCCGGGCGCAGCACTGCCCCGGTGCCAGCCCCGCCGTGACATCGCTACCAGACCACCGGGCTGGGACGTCACTGCCTCCCRCTG